GCCATCACTACTATTCTCTTCATTCGAGTCTGTCATGTCCTGTAAATGTCAACGATAGATGTGTAATAAGAACGTCAACAGCCTGATGGCAACCGAAAATCCCTCTCTCATCTCAGATAGAAGATATGATTGGAGACGACCACCCAATCAGAATTGACCTTCTCGAGTTCTCCAATTGGTTGGTTTTGTGGCACATTTGTAACGCTGTGACAACTTGAGCGAGCGCAGGCAAAGCTGAGCGCGCGCAGGCAAAGCTGAGCGCGCGCAGGCTGGAGAGGTCGAGCGAGCGGGTGAGAGAGAGAGAGAGCGCGTGCAGCGGTCTGCTTGCGCACGGAGCAGGAGTTTTACGAGAGAAAATATATTTCTCTGTGCTCAAAACTGTTCAAGTGCGCGCTCAGGATAGAGGCACAAATATAACGCCATACTGCACGCGCTCTCTCTCTCCCCCGCTCGCTCGACCTCTCCAGCCTGTGCCCACTCAGCTTTGCCTGCGCGCGCTCAGCTTTGCCTGCGCTCGCTCAAGTTGTCACAGCGTTACAAATGTGCAGTGGCGGCGGGTCATTAGGGGCAGGTGGGGCACAGCCCCACCTAGTGTCAGAAGAAAGTATTACAAATAATGATTACAAAAAAATACTAAAAAATAAATAAAAAAACATATAAAATATATTTTAAGGTCATGTTTAATAATCTGATTCGTCTGTACATTTCTGTTTTAGTCTGTGTTCTTCTAATTAGTGTCTAGAGTGCCGTTTTGAGCTGTTTAGAGCCATGTGGGACAAAACCCGATCCTGCCCCTCCCTCTCACAGTCTAAGTGAACGGTGATTGTAAAAACTACACTGCGCATGCTCAGAGTATTTTTCTATTTAATGTGTGTGGCAAAAAAATAATGACCGTAGGGGCATAGTGCTCCCATCCCCACCATACGTCATCTCACATAATTCAGAATTGATTGGCTGTAAGTACTCACGTGTGCAGTGCTGCGAAACGTCACGTGTAGTTTGAAGAGGAGACGAGAGAGCAGCATATAGCTAACATCACCAGCGATTAAAAGAAGTAAAAAACTGAAAGAAAATGAATGAAGTTGACCATTTACTGGAGCACACATTTGAGACACTTAGTCTCGGAGAGAAACTGGAGGTAAAGCGCCTCGGTGCCCACCATCCACCGGATTTCCAAATGGTCCAGACTGCGGGCAAAGTTAAACGTGGGTTTAACGCTGAGTGGTTTGCTAAAAAGAAATGGCTAACGGCGAGCATCCAGAAGAATTCCCTCTTTTGCTTTCCTTGCCTGCTTTTTGGTGAAGATCAAGGTACTTGGTCGAGGACAGGTTACAAGGACTTAAAGCATCTTTCGGAGAGGACAATGAAGCATGAGAGCAGCAACAGTCATTTGGAAAATGCCGTAAAATTGGGATTACTTGGAAGGGTGAATGTTGCAGCTCAGATTGACAGCGCCTACAGACACGGCATTGATTCTCATAATAGGAAGGTGGAAGAAAACAGGTACGTGCTTGGTCGGATCATCACCTGTATTAAACTGTGTGGGAAATGTGAGACAGCACTGCGGGGCCACAACGAGTCGGCGGACTCTCTGAATCCAGGGATATTCAGGTCAATTTTCGAGACAATGTGTGAGGGCGATTCCAGGCTTCAACGGCACTACGAAGCTCAGCTTGTTTTCAAAGGGACATCAAGCACCATACAGAATGAACTCTTGGACTGCATGTATGATGTGTACAGGGAGGAAATAGCCAAGCAAGTGGACAACACATCATTTGTTGCCGTTCAGGCCGACGAGACAACCGATGTCTCCTGTAAATCGCAAATGGTGATTGTGCTGCGATACATTATGCCTGACCTCACAGTTACAGAGCGTTTTTTGGAGTTTGTGGAAGTAAAGGACAAAACTGGTGTAGGTCTCTCTAACAGCATCAAGGCTGTTCTGGAACCCCTGAAGCTGAAAGAAAAGCTAATCGCTCAGACCTATGACGGGGCGGCCGTCATGAGCGGTAACGTGCGCGGGGTACAGACGGTGATGAAGGAGACGTACCCAAACGCTCAGTTTGTTCACTGCTACGCCCACCAACTGAACCTGACCCTGCAGCAACTGTGTTCAGCAAGGATGAGCATCCTGAAGGTGTTTTTTGCAGATCTAACTGCTTTTTCCACTTTTTTCTCCGGTGCTCCAAAACGTGTTGCAGCTCTTGCAGAGGCAACACAGAGACGCATCCCACGGCCACCGGCTGTGAGATGGAACTTTAAAAGCAGAACTGTGAACGCGGTTTGGGAGACCCGAGATGCACTACTTCAGTGTATGAAGCATATACGCGCACAACCAGGATGGGATGCGGTCACCATAAGTGAGGCATACGGCCTGTCAAAGAAACTGCGGGACCGAGCATTTATGCAGCTCCTGGAGTTTTTTTCGTTGCTTATGCCAGAAGTGGATGTTCTATACAACACTCTGCAAAAACGAAGCATCGATGCACCTGGGATCAACAGCGCGCTCTGCCGTTTCAAGGAAAATGTTCAGAAAATGAGGCAGAAAACTGATGCATTGGCCGCCACTGCTCATGATGGAACAGACGAGCCAGGCCGACGAGTCAGCAGCACAGCGCCGGTGATGAAGGAGGCTTGTGACACAGTCATCTCACAGGTGGAACAGAGGTTCTCACAGAGTGACCATTTGATCGCTGCAAAGCTTGTTGACAGCTCATTCTTCCCACAGCATGTCCTGTCATTTCCTATACCTGAGCTTGACTGCGCCGTGAAACTGTGGCCTGCGTTGGGAAACAAGGAGAAGTTGAAGTCTGAGCTGACCACGCTCTACCGCCACAGTGAGCTTCACACTGGAAACACTGCCCTGTCTCTGTTGAAATCCATTCACGAGAACAACTTGGAGGAAACGTTTGCTGAGACTGTTATTTTGGTCAAAATAATAGTGACAACTCCGATGACGACATCCGAGTCAGAGAGGAACTTTTCCACCCTCAAAAGGATAAAGACTTTCACTCGCAACACCATGGGACAGCTGCGACTTAACGCATTGGCCATGCTTTCAATTGAAAGCCAGTTGATCCAGCAACTACAGGACTTCATCCCCAAAGTGATAGACACATTCTGTCAGAGGAAGGACCACCGTGCCGCTTTTCTTTTCAAGTGAGCCTTCAGCTTTGGTAAGTTCATTTATGTCATATATTTTGTTGATCTTCTGTGTTTTGCCTCTGCTGGATCGATTGATATTGTGACCTCGATGATGAGTGTCTGTGTTTTCCTTATATTTACAGTCTATGGTGTTTTAATGCTAAAGCATTACGGTTGTTGTTATTGTTAAGAATTACTTTGTGATGGTGACCTTTACTCCATGTATGAAGGTGCATTACTATGACATCCCCACGCTGTGTACGTAAATGTATGCGCTCACAGTGTTGCTCCTGTGGTCTTCAGTATGTAATTTGACACTCCCCCTCTCTCTCTCCTCCCCCCCTCTCTCTCTCCCCCCTCTCTCTTTCCTCCCTCTCTCTGTACCCCCCCCCCCCTCTCTCTCTCTCTCCCCCGACCTCTTTCTGCCCCCCCAGTTTTGTACACCTAGAAACGCCACTGCAAATGTGCCACAAAACCAACCAATCGGAGAACTCGAGAAGGTCAATTCTGATTGGCTGGTCGTCTCCAATCATATCTTCTATCTGAGATCATGGATGTATAAGTCTGAGATGAGAGAGGGATTTTCGGTTGCCATCAGGCTGTTGACGTTCTTATTACACATCTATCGTTGACATTTACAGGACATGACAGACTCGAATGAAGAGAATAGCACACCACAGTGTCAGGTGAGTTATACATTTCTAGTTTTCTGATATCACGTTATTGTTTGCAATGCCTGAGTTTGCTAGCCGGCAACATAGCTATAGGGGTAGTTTAAGCAAACCGCTAACAAACCGTAGCCTACATGTACATGAACCCTTCTGAGGTATTGATTACTTGCTGTAAGCATTAGAGGTGGCAGAATGACAAAACATGTTTCTCTCTCTATCACAATGTTGGGTTGACCAGAACCTGGACCAACTTCTGTTTCCTGTTCTACAATGGGCATATGCTTGCGTTAATTTTCAACCGGACAGATGAGGCTAGGATAGATGAGAGTAACACCTACGTCACTTGCGGGCAAAAATTACGGCCCCGCCCACTTTTGGGGGAAAACAACGCTGTCATTTGAATGGCGGTCAATACAAATTCTGAAGTTTTTGCCAATCCGATCACATTTTTTTGAAAACCGTCGATTTTTGGATCTTCAAAGAGCCCGATTACGATGGCCAGACAGGCAAACAATTACATTTGATCATTGGTAATCGACAATCGGTCTTGATATATGGTTAAATTAAAATCAGTACGCGAGGCTGTAATTTCTCCAGCTGTTACTCTCATGAGCGAGGCGGAACATAATAGTTGTATCATGCCAACAAGCTGCCGTGTCGTTTATTGCACCTCAAACATTAAAAATAATCCAGAGTTCAGTGTTTCTGTACTTCCTCTAAGAAGAAAGGACAGTAAAAGAAGAGCTCTGTGGCTTCAGGCTCGATCGCCATTCAAATGACAGCGTTGTTTCCCCCAAAAGTGGGCGGGGCCGTAAAGTGACGTCGATGTTACTCTCATCTATGAAAATCGATAGCCTACTGCTATATTTAACCATATATCGAGCCCGATCGTCGATTTCTAATGGCTTAATGCAATTGTTTGCCTGTCTGGCCATTGGAATCGGGCTCTTTGATGATCCAAAAATCTCCGGTTTTCTTACATTTCTGATCGGATTGGCAAAAACTTCAGAATTTGTATAGCTTGGTTTCAGTCACGTGACTTCTATGACGCGCGAAATTCAAGGTCAGGAAGTGAAAACGCAATCATTCATCAACGCAGGAATCATGGAGGACACCGACTATGTCAAACAATTAAATGAACCTGCACGCCGCAGATATCGTGAAAAAAAATCACAGCACACATCGGATACGATCCGTATCAGCTGAAAAAAAACGACTTTTCTTGTGATTTATCCGATTTGCCCGCTGTCCAGGCGATGGATATCACCAGCTACCTCGTCCTTCATACCTCCTACTACACGGCTAGCCAGATGCAAACGTATAAAAGCCTGGAAGCTTTCAACTACTTTGTGTGTGGATGGGTGAATGACCTCGGCACCAAAGAGGCATTAAACAAATGTCGCCTTGTTTTTGCCCGGGTGAGTGTTAACTACCTATACCTTCTTACCTCTAAGTAGCATTATTAGGAGACATCTAGCTAGCTAACTTTAGCTACATGGACTCATGTAAGGCAGGGTTACGGCTGTCGCCTTGCCTTCAGCATTAACTGGCCTGTGAGTGTGTTGTGTGTGTATATATGTGTATGTTTGTTATGTGTTTAGCTTAGGATATATTGTGTTTTGTGTGTATAGACAGCTCAGAGCCTTTGAACAGCCTGCACGTTGTTTATATCACTCTATGTTGAGGTTAATATTAAAAACAACCTCTTTACCAAGACCATCTGGTTATGTGTTGCTTGTGATGTTGTTAAATGTATGTTACCAACTCGCAAGTTGTGAACTGGAGCTTCAATTGTGTAGGTCAACCATTCCCAGAGGTCTGGAGAAACACCATTAAAAACGTGGATTGTAGCTAAAGAAGATGGAGAGGTTGTTACAGCACACTGTAACTGTATGGCTGGGTAAGTCATAAAATAAATATCCCAACCCAAAGCATATTTGACACAACACTTAAGCTCAGACAAAATAATGCCTGCTATAATATTCATGTTATACCATTACTAGCTTTTACGATCAATCTAGTTATTCTAGTATGTCTCTGTCTATACAGTTTGTCAGAATCCTGCTCACATGTTGGAGCAGTTCTGTTTGCAATCGAAGCAGGTGTGAAGATGAGAGAGACTGCATCCTGCACCACTGAGAAGTGCAAGTGGCTAATGCCATCACATGTCAAAAAGGTATTCAGACCCCAGTGGTCAGTCAGCTGTTCATGCCGTCCTTGTCTGTCTCATTGTGACACTGCACCTACATGTATGTTCACATACATGTTGGTCTGTCTCTCACATGTGCAGATTCCTGCTGCTCCAGTTGCGATGATAGACTTTTCATCCGCAAAATCCAAAAAGCAAAAACTGGATGATGCCATTGCTGGAAGGACAGGTGAGAAGCACACATTTCAGCGTCCCACAGTCCAGGGTTCAAAATTGGAGCGAGGATCAGAGAGGTATATGCAGTTTTTCAAGACTTTGAGCAGAAATTCCCCAAGAAGTGCTGCACTGATGTCCAGGGAACCATATTACAGAGAATTTGTCCCTAAATCTGTGAGCAAGCTACCTAAACCACTACCTCAGTATAGGACACCAGAGATGCTACAGCTATCCCCAACAGAGTTGCAGAATGCATGCCAGGACTTCAGACAGGAAGAGCTGACACAGCCACAGGTCCATGCAGTAGAGGAGGAGACCAGAAACCAGAGCTTATCAGCAATATGGTTTAGCCAAAGAGCAGGAAGGATCACAGCCTCAAGACTGAAGCAGGTTCTACAGACTAGTCTTGCACAGCCATCAAAGTCCTTAATCAAGTCCATATGCTACCCAGAGGCATACAAGTTCTCTACAGCTACAACAAGGTATTTATTAGGGATTAGGGAGCCAATCAGAAAAGCAAACTGTATACAGTTTTTCTCAGACGCGGAGGGATACCGACTTGTTGTGAAAAGTAACTTACAATTCTACCCGTGGTATACGCTGATTATATCACGTATATCAGTAAGTTACAGTACAAGTAACTTATAACTAAATTCATTATCATTACAGAATATGATTCACAAAATATTCAATGCATAAACTGTGTGTGTGTGTGTGTGTGTGTGTGTGTGTGTGTGTGTGTGTGTGTGTGTGTGTGTGTGTGTGTGTGTGTGTGTGTGTGTGTGTGTGTGTGTGTGTGTGTGTGTGTGTGTGTGTGTGTGTGTGTGTGTGTGTGTGTGTGTGTGTGTGTGTGTGTGTGTGTGTGTGTGTGTGTGTGTGTGTGTGTGTGTGTGTGTGTGTGTGTGTGTGTGTGTGTGTGTGTGTGTGTGTGTGTGTGTGTGTGTGTGTGTGTGTGTGTGTGTGTGTGTGTTGCAAATACGAGGCAACTGCCCGAAAGCAGTATGAAGGAGTACAAAGTCTGCACCACCAGGGTTTCAGCTGTAAAGACAGCGGGCTTTTGCTGAACCCTCAATGGCCATACATGGGAGCGTCGCCAGACGGAGGTGTCACGTGCACCTGCCATGGAACTGGTATCTGTGAGATAAAGGTAAGTTATTTGTTCAGTATTGTGCTACAGTAAAGCGGGTAAGTATAGGATTGTGACGTGTTCCTGAGTCTGGGGATCCTCTTCCAATACATTTTGAGCTGCAGACACTTATTTACAGTACAATATATTACTTTTCTTTTCATTGAACTTTTAGTGCCCACACAGCAAACAAGAGGAGGCCAATCTTCGCCTGTGTGCTGGAGAACAGGGCTTCTGTCTCGTCAACGATGGGGGCACTGTGAAGCTGGACAGGAGACATGCCTACTACCATCAAATACAGGCTCAGCTCCACCTCGTTGATGTTGACTACTGCGACTTTGTTGTCTGGACTAAAAATGACCTCTTTGTAGAGAGAATTGTGCGTGATGTGGACCTGTGGGACAACATCATTCCCAGAGTTGAGCGTTTCTTCAGACTATGTGTTCTCCCTGAAGTGTTGGGACAGCAACTTACAAGGGGAAAGGTAAAAGTCATAAAGAGTTGGTGTGCTCATTTTTTTCCACAAGAACATGTTAGTGCATAACTATCAGGTGACTAAAAGCCTCCTCTCTCTGTCTGCTGTTCCATTTTTCAGTTTCAGTTGCAAGATGATCAGGAGGGAGAGAAGGCGTGATTACCAGCACCTGTGGTCTGTCCTGGTCCCGGAAGTTGTGGTTCTCTCCTTGTTGCATTATTATTACGTGCCGTAGTGGGTGCTGGTGTTTGGGTGTGTGTGGGTGTCTTTTTCTCTCTCCCTCTGATCTCCCCAGGTGCTCCCAATCTCCAATCAGCGCCTCCATATAGGACATGAGGAAGGTTGCAGTCGCTCTCCCCTTATCTTAAGCTTTGTTTGACAAGTTGGCTGGTGAGCCCTTTTTCGTTGTGTTAATTAAAAGACCACTTTATGGTGTCAGAGATCAGTTTCCTCTCCTTTTTCTCTCGGCCGGTTATGTTGTGTGTCGCTACTTCCCTTTGTACCCCTATATTTACAAGGGAATGTAATATTTGCACAGTGGCAGCTCTTTAACCTGCATTACAGCACCTTCATATTCACTGACCACACTCACTAGAGGAAGTAGGGCTGTGTGATATATTGCTATTGTAAAAAAGATGTTTACTGAAAAGATTAAATGATACTAAGACTGAATAATACATGGTTTCTTATTTACATTTACAATAACCCTCAATGGCCATACATGGGAGCGTCACCAGACCAATTGTCATCTCTAGAATATTGTTGAATGAATTAAGCCTGAATGTAGATGAAAGTTGTATATTGAGTAGGGCTACACAATTTTCAACACAAAAATATGTTTACTGAAAAGATTAAATGATACTGAATAATACATGGTTTCTTATTTACAAGACTACAGCTCCATGACTTTACTCCAATGGGATGACAGACACTGACAGATTAGACAAGGCACAGCAAATAACCCCAATCTTGTCAATTAATGCTAGTGCCTCACCTGGTTTTGTTAGCATGTGCTCTATGGGCACAGCCCTACTTTGCAGAATCTGATATTTTCTTCTGACTAATCCTATGACTCTTTCAACATGAATACGCACATTAGCTATTTTTCTTGTCTCTTCCACCTCGTATGCTGACAGCTGACTTTTCCCCCTGGTGAATGCAGGCATCTTTAGTGAAGCACAGTAAAATCCCACACTATCGGCAATATCGAACCCACGGTCTGCTAGGACAATATCTCCAGGTAACAGGTTTTTTAGGAGCCCACTCTGTATTGTGATCTGTTTATCACTAACTCTTCCTCCCCAGGCACAAGATATGTAGGTAACATAGCCTTGGGGAGTAACACCAATCAGAAATTTAACAGTATGGTGATGCTTGTAGTTGGACCATGTTTGTGCTCTAGCTAGTAAATTAGAGGGCCTCTCAATAAAAACTTCAAAACAGTCAACAATCACAGCAACTCTACATCCAAATGCCTGTCTGAATCCCATTGGCATTGTAGCTTGAAGTACATGTCGCTCTGGCCACTCAATTATAAATTCTGTACTCTCGTGAAGTATGTCAATTAACTTATGCCAAATTCTAGAAGCAGTGGAGAGAGAGATGTTGAACCTGAAAGCCAAATCTTTCAGAGGGAGATTTAGTCTCAGCCTCAGCAAAACTAAAATGAACTGTTCAAATTTGGAGAGCACAGACATAGGGCCACAGGTGATGTAGGGCTCGCACAGTTGAAAAACCTGAAGTAAAACTAAGAAGTTGGGGAGCCCGGTGTAAAACTTTGTTTTCTCTTCGTTGTTCTCAAAGGACTCCTGGTTGAACTTTGTGTCCAGTGCCGTTGTCCGAAGATCTCCCAGCTCTGTTGTGTTCTGTCTCAGAACATCCTCCATCCTCTCGATGTCCTCCATCGTTAAATCAGTCTGGCATCCTGCATCTGCATACAATATAGCAGTAGCAAGCATAATTAGTTATTTAAAATAGTCAAATATGAATGTGAATTTTTGTGAAGTTATCTTTTTGACAACCTTTTTACAGACATGCAAGTTCTCTGTTCCAATTATTGCAGATTCTCAAATTAGTGCTCTATTTTCTAAACCTAATTCAAAGTTTGCATTGATTTTCTGACAATCACATTTGTAATATTTAATAATAATGCTGGTGGTTAATTTACCTTGTTGGTCATTTAATATCCCACTGGTGTCCTCTGGTTGTGGGCTGTCAGACGGGGGCTGCGTCGGTTCTGGGCTCTCGGTTGTCTGCAGGAGATCCAACAAAGCCTCTGCACATTCTGATTGTCTTTGTTGGTCTTCCTTGAGCTCCATCCTCTGCTCTCGTCGAAGAGATGCCTCTGATCTGGGCTTACTTGTTGTGTGGTAACCGAGGCTAACAGTGGGAGCCCAGTCTACCGACTCAAAGTCACCCAAAGCGCTAGGGCACCCTAAAAAGTCCCAACAAAGTCCATATTAGACTACAGGTAACTTAAACATGATCAGTATTACTAAGTAAATACGCATTTAACCACAACCCAATAATACCTAAACAAAGCCACAAAAACCAAGTTAGCTAATACCTCTGATGAAGTGGTCGCTGCAGACCCGTGCATTAGACGACTGCTCTTCCCGACCGCAGATGTAGGTTTGAAAGCCATTTTTTCCGGCGTTCTTCGGTTAGCTTCTTAAATTGCTCAGCTTTATGGACGACAACCTTCGGCACTCGGTAAAACCTCTTGTTTTTCTCTCGGCCGGATCGATTGGAACAACCGTAAACTACACAACACACCGGCATTTTCACAATGGTAACAGCAGCTAGATCCTCTGTAGAAAATTACTTCCTGACCTCCAATGGAATTTCGCGCAAAGGAACGCAACGGTGTGACGTCACGTGAAACCAAGCTATAGACCGCCGTTCAACTGACAGCGTTGTTTTCCCCCAAAAGTGGGCGGAGACGTTATTTTTGCCCGGAAGTGACGCATTTGTTACTCTCATCTATACCGGCTAAAGTTAGCAACACACGTTAACCACGAACAGCCTATTAATCCGTTCTCCTCATGTTATTTCTTCCAACGTTGTGGAATTAGAGAAAAGGGGCTTCTTAACGTGCTTTTATCCGGGGTGGAGGGAGTTACATATTAGTTAAATATAACATTGGGGCGTGTGATTGTAGTGGGTGGAGAAATGAGGATATCCATTTTGGAGTTCCAGCTAGTATAATATAGTTAACGTTACACAATAATAAGGAAGAGAGCTATTTGTGTGATACATCGCTATTGATATGGATTTAGAGTGTATATTTGAGACTTCTAAACAGTAAACAAAAACATAATTTATGGGTGAGTGTTTTTAGCAGAGTCATATTATGTCTTTGTGATTCTGTTGATTATTACCTGTCTGTATTATGTTGCAGCTCAGCTGATGTTGGATTGATGGCAAAGGGAGAGGGACCTAAGTGAGAGTGAAAACACAAGGTACGTTTAAAATAGGTCAACAATTTCCCATCCTATAGGTTGCTAGATGTATCTAACCCTTTCTCCTGTCTCCCTCTCTCAACACAAGAACCCCAGGGGGATTCAATGGAGCTTGAAGACCTGCACTGAGACCCTCACCCTGCACCTGAGTCTCAACTCCCAGAGTTTTGCAAGCCTCTCCCTGTTCCTTATTTTGATTAAACAGACATTAAGTTTCCCAATGGTGTGGTCTTCGTTTTGTGAAAAATATGATTACCTCACATATGTTGTTGCTGTTGTTGTCTTTTGTGATAGTTAAATTGCTCCTGCTGACTTGAGCCAGCCATTCTTTCCTCCTCTCTGTGTCAGTGGGGAAACTTTACATTCATACTCCTTTCTCTGAGCGCTTGGAGCATCCCCAGGCAGCACAGCAAACCATGGGGGAGACTATATGCCGGACAACACGGAGGAAAAGGCACAGACAAACTGCATGCATGCTATTCAATGTTTATTGAATTCCATTTATTTACAATGGATGTTCCAAAAACAACACATTTAACATCATCATCATGCTGCTGCTGCTAGTCCTTTGACTCATTGTGCTGTCAGTTGACAATCATTGATATAGGCACCTGTGGGTCTCCTGCCCTTTCTGAAAGTCATAAAGATTACATTAGTACTTTAGATTACTTGTGTCCTCAATTACCAGGGGATTACTGAAACCACCATGAATTAATGAAATGGTAGAAATGAATCTAATCTGAATTTTGAAACCTTCCTTCCCATCCCTTCCCTCTAAATATATAAAACATTAGGATGTGATGCTCCTGACTACCATACAGGTTTAAGAAGATAATATTTGTTTTAAAGAATTCAAAGCAATAAACAACAGGCTCTTTAACCAAGGCAACGTTAGCCTAACATGTTAACAGGTAAGATAGCTGTTCACACTATGTATATTTTCTACGTTTTAATGCTATGTTATTTCTATTTAAGATGTTTACATTTTCGATTGTTTAATTATAGTCTTTTAACTGTCTAATGTACAATGCCTCCTTGTCTTTTGCTGCTGCAGCGTAAACATTTCCCCAATTGGTATCAATAAAGTATCTTAATCCTCAAATATTAGCACATTTAAATAAAAAAAAACACACACATTGATGTAACTACATACACATATCGATATGTTGTATAAATATTGCAAATCAAAACCTTTATTGACCACTAATTACCAAAAATTGCATTTATATCCTGTTATTAATGCATTCAAATCGTGATTCAAATGGCCTGCCACGAACTTCCGGGAACTTTCTGAGTCTCTGAACCACGTGACGATCAAGCATTTTGGACTTCCGCTGTAGCAACTCTTCTCTCTACATGGCGCTGGACCAGCCAATCAGAATTGACCTTCTCGAGTTCTCCGATTGGTTGGTTTTGTGGCACATTTTTAACGCTGTGACAACTTGAGCGAGCGCAGGCAAAGCTGAGCGCGCGCAGGCAAAGCTGAGCGCGCGCAGGCAAAGCTGAGCGCGCGCAGGCTGGAGAGGTCGAGCGAGCGGGGGAGAGAGAGAGCGCGTGTAGCGGTCTGCTTGCGCACGGAGCAGGAGTTTTATGAGAAAAAATATATTTCTCTGTGCTCAAAACTGTTCAAGTGCGCACTCAATAGCATTTTCTATGCTCAACATGTTTCATTGCGTGCTCAGGATAGAGGCACAAATATAACGCCATAGAGGTGGGGATGCAATGGATGTTAGCCAAAAGCCGGTCAGGGACGGTGTGGTGGGTCGATGTTGTTGGATGACAGGGCGTGTATACATCGGGGCTCCGCCCACTGTACCCATAGAGTCCAGTAGAGGGCGGAGCCTGTGTGAAATATAACAGGGGGTTACGTATTGTAACCCTAGTTATATAAGCACAGGTGGAGCCCTCTACCTGGGGGCCCTGTCTTTCCTAGTCCGCTCGCTGAAGAGTGTATAGGATAGTGGGCGGTGGGTGTAGCCGCCTTTATATACTGTGGGCCTGCGCGCGCATTCAGGTAGGCTCGCCCCGATTGGCCGGCTACGTTTACGTAAACTCAGTAGGTGAAAGCACGCACAGCATGATAGAGAGTAGTACCTATAGAGTCCAGTAGAGGGCTCCGCCTGTGCTTATATAACTAGGGTTACAATACGTAACCCCCTGTTTCTTCTAAACATAATTTTCCTTCTCCATATTCGCTATCTAGTTTTATTTACACTCCGTCTCTGTCTAACTCTCTCTCATTCAAACAAACGTCAATCACTCACTCTGGCGTTCCAGCTGCCCCGAGTTGTTGGCGGTGTCAACAGCTGCTTTGGGCGCAGTTTGGTGCACCCTGAACTGCTCCTATCACTTGCATTGAAGGGGTGTGCATGCACCACTTAAAGAGAGTCAATGGGCAAAGATTTCTGCACCCCAAGCAGGAAACACGTGACTTATCAGTAACTTTAGACATTGTAAAACAATTTGTATCTATATTTTATCACCACGCAAAGTAATGTGATGAGGCCCTCTGTGTCGCGAGCGTTGACGGGGGGGAGGGGATAGTGGAGCACGCGCGTGAACTGGGAGTGCCGGAGCCTCGCAGTGGTGAAACTGTGGCGCGCTTAACTGCGCCGCATTTGCACATAAACTGAAGTGCGCCGCATTTGCGCATCAGATGAGGCGCCCTCCGCATGGTGAGGCCCCACACAGTCTGCATAATCTGCATGTAGGGAGGGGCGGGCCTGTTACCCGCCATCGTGGACACTAGCAAAACATCATCCGACTCGCCGCTCCCGCTCCTGAAGCAGCAGTCCTCGTCGCACCAACACCGCCACCCCTCATTGGACCACAAGTGCCAGGGGACCTCTGCAAAACAGTGCCAGGTATATCAAACAAGACGGTCATTTTGCAGCTCGTTGTATAAAAAGTGGGTTATTTTTGCACTGTAGTTAAACGTTTTTATAAAACACTTATGTTTTACACCTCCCACATATCAAAATCATATCTCATATCACAATTTATCAACAAGCTAATGTTGCAGCTGAAATGTTCTCCAGGTCACAAAGCCATCCTCACATCATGATGTGATAACGGCCCCTATACACGGCAGCGTGCGTTGTTGAAGCTTCAACACTTCTGCCCATTCACTTTGAATGGGGTGACCTCACGCTTCGCCGAACTGCATTGTGGGAGCAAAGCGTGTGCTTTTGCTCGCTTCAAAAGTAGAGCAATGTTCTACTTTTGAAGCTTCGACGGAAGCGTCAGCCAATCGAATCATATGCCAGTACAAGCTCTAGCCAATCAAACCGCTGCTTGTGTGTCTGGGGCGGGAGATTTATGTGATTGGTTGTTGGTCGAGCGTCAAACATGCCCGCCGGCAAGCTTCAATGCATGCCGCTGTGTGTAGGGGCCGTAACAGTTTTCAGGCACAGTAAATGTTCGCTTCCCAGAGTTTATGGGACCAAAACAACAAGTCCTCCAACTCATACGACCAAATGGGTCGATTGTTCAAGCCCTTATTACGACCAAATATGTTGTTTGTTCAAGCGCTTAATACGACCTATAATTACGTTTTAAAATGGTCGGGCTCTAGTGCTCCCGTTGAATGCAAACGTTACAGAGGGTTGTTTATTCACAAATAACCCTCTCTGTAAAATCCTAAATTGTAGGATAGTTTGGCCATTAAAACGCTTTATGATTAGATTTCTAGCGAGAAGTATATATTGTACTTTTAGAATCCACGTCCAGTCGATATGTAGGATCTATAGTTTGATAGATATTACGAAGATGATTTGAGGTTTCGTCAGGAGAATGTGTATATGCGGCAAGCTTCCATGTAAAGTTACGGGTTGAAAACAGTATTTCCGGTCTCGACGTTTTCATAATGATCAAATGATTTAACAGTGATATCTGCAGTACTCATCCACTAAAAAACATCAGTTTATCCTAGTTAATTATACGACATTAATTGGTTTAAATTGTGTACAATGCTTTTGTGTTTTTCCGATGGTTTTTCTCTTTCGATTCTGAGAGACACCTTTCTTTTTTCAGAGGTTTTGATAGGCTAAAATCACGCCGCAATGCACGTCGGGGTATGGTGTTTATGTGATATGAAATCGGAAAACATTTTTAAAAAAAAATAATAGTACTTTAT